CTGTCGCCTCACCGACAAAGATGCCTGTACGTTCGAGGACGCCCAGTTGTCCATCCATCACTCCTGTTTCTTCTCGACCTGGTACACCTCCGTGTACTGTCCCTAGTAGTCCGTTGAGCCTTACTCCATCGGGAATTTTCGTGAACACATCAACCACAGGTATCCCGATGAAGTCAAGTAGCATTCCGATGCGCAGTAATTCAAGGCCAACGACACCAATACCCTCTTCTCCGTTATGTTCTCCTGTTCAAGTTGGCACACTGTCGCCGACAATTGAGAGCGCAGAACTTCCGCCACTTAGGAGCATTGCTATTCCTATTCGTAAAGCAACATCAAATAGCACAGGCTATTCTTCAATACCGGGTACACCGATATCATCTTCACCGCTAGCATCATGCTCTTCTTTGGCCTCTTCACCGATGTATCATGGTCATTTGTCAAGTTCTCCCCCGAACGGTCATGGTTACGTGCATACGGGTACATCTGATCATGCACCATATAAACATACACATACGGGCATTCCTCTCAGGTCTCGGGCGTCTAGTTACAGTCTAAGCAGCATTTCCAGACCATCTAGTCCATTCAGAGCAGCTACGATGCATTCACTCTTCCACACAGAAAAGATAACATCTGTACAGAACTGAGGGCTATAGTTTGTTTGGATCAAATGATTCAGCAAGATAATGAGCATCCTAGCAATATACTCCCATCATTTTAAGATACACTCAGTGTTGATGTAAATGTATGGGTTTTATATTTATCGAATGCTTATACGGACATGACATATTATTATCTATTTCACATGTGTATAGACGAATAGACTTTCACTAAGTGAATGTCGCCATTGTCCGATGTGGATTTGCGGCATATTATTAACTTAGTTGATCCGCATGCATAGACATCCACGTAGAAAAATAGAGTAAATATTATTTCATTGTTCATTCGTTCTTCCTGTAAGCCTTTACTATTAGGGCACACTGTTGCTTTCAGTGGTAATTAATACTAGTGGGAATTCAGAATCGAAGGTGCTACTCATCCGTAGGCTCATTTGTAATATTTGAAAGGACTCTTCTGTTGGGTATGCGGCATAATTATTTTCAATCCCCTTTTTTTCTTCCAATGTCAATTTGGTAGACTCAATGCATTATAGAAATGATCTAACTGTTGTTTTTGATACCATCGGTACAAATAACTTCCCATTCGATTGATTCCGAATGTGAGATGGTAATCAATAAAAAATGTAGATACATACAAATAATTTCTGTGTCAATGTATTAATCACATGATTACGAATCTGGCTTTTTCTATTGAGAGCCGGTTTTCCATCATGGTGTTATCGATATTTATTGTTTTAGACATTTTAATTATCAAATTGGTTCTTGACAATGTTTGTCGATTACTATATTCATTTTCATTATAATAGACTCGGCGAGTTAGCATTCTTTATACCCTTTTTGTACTAATTGGTACTACTAAAATTTCTATAATTGTCCAAAACCCTATTATGCACCATGTTATTCTTTTGCACAGGTTGAGTCAATTCTATGCCGCCAAAGGTCAAACATAAACACCCCAAACGAAGAGAAAATAATTCGAAAGAAAGTAATTCCAAGGATACTCGGACATTAACATTGAATG